CCACCTTGTCATTTAGAGATGGTACCTTGCTCCAGGTTAAAGGATAGATTTGTTTCATGACCAGGATAATAAAGTTAACACCTCCCTGCAGAGAAAGATTGGGCAGCTTTGCTAGAAGCCCCTTAAAAGACTAGGAATTTCCTAAACTCAGTGTTCCTTTGCTATGATACAAATCCACTGTGAGCAAGAATCCACCTGGGACACTCAGCATTGTCCCTGAAAGGATTTGGGGACATACAGGGAACCGACAAGCACATGATGCTCATGCTGCCTCCTATGCTCTAAATAATAAAGTCCCCTGTCTCTGACCCAGGAGTCTCCTGTCTTCTTGTCAGCATCATGTAACTGCGGCAGACTAGCAAGCTGGGTAAACTTTCAGACCCTTGGTTGTTCCTGACAATTTTTAGATGTTAGGGGTTTCCAGTTTACAGAATAAAACCAAAGCTACCACATTGAATTCTACATATCTAACATGCAATGTCATATCCCGAAAACAATATGTTGAGCGAAAAAGGCAAACTCAAAAGTGTGAAGGCTTCATAATTTAATGATACGAAGTAAATAAGAATGATCGTTGCTTCTCAGAGCGGGGATGGGTAGGAACTAAATGGAAATAAGAAAAATTTTTAGGGGTGCTAGGAATATTCCATATCTTGACTAGGGTAGTGGTTACAATGATGCACATGACTGTTAGAATACATTAAGCCATAAAGTTAAGACTGTGCATTTTAATGTCTATAAATTATATCTCAATAAGAAAGCATTAAAAATTTGAGATAGCTAAACACTGAATATGTTACAGTCCCTTTTAGTTTCAGGACAGAATAATTCATAAAACATTAGCAGAAATACTGATCACTTTCACGAGCATTCTGTTCAATATCTTTCCTAGGGAGGTAGCTGCAATTTAGGAATTTAAGTGTATGTATTGTGGAGTCAGATTACTTGGTTTTACACTCAGATCTTTCAGTTACCAGCTAGGTACTCTCCACTAACTTCCTTAATCTTTTCATGCTTGGGCTTCATAACTTTTAACAGAAGTATAAAAGAATTTCCTATATGTGATTTTGAGAATGAAATTAGATAGTACAGGTAGAGTGCCTAGTATACAGAAGCATTCTCTAAAGATTAATTGTTACCAACTAATAATAACACAGGATTCAAAATAAATTCAGGACATTTCTGTTAAAGCAAAAGAGTAATATAATTTTAAAAATCTAGTAAGTATAATATACATTCATTAATGAGAAAACTAGGTGGGATATTTATAATGGCCTAAAAGTCACTTAGTTATATAATCAAAGCAACAGATTCACATCACATTCTGGCACACGTGAATTTGAAGTACCTAAAGAAAAAACTTAAGTCAAATAAACATCACTTTGGGTAAATGTTTCAAGTTCAGACAGATGTTTCTCATCTACTTTGTGACAACTATTTTAGGTCTATTTTCCTAATGTAATGAATGTAAAGGAGGTAAATCCAATTGAATACTAATCCTGATCTTGCCTGAAGAGTAAGTTGATGACAAAATTTTTAAAAAACATGACTAAAAAGAAAATATGTAAAAGGACAAAATCTAGAATCGGATAGTACAAACACAGGGAAAAGGAGGAAAAGGGATGAAATAACAGTGCTGGAAAAGCACTTTGCTGCAACAAAGGGCAAGGGTCAGACAAAGCTGGGTGGGCTTTATGGCTGCATATCGGACCACACACTCTCTGCAGCATTGATGTCACAGTATCCCCCATACAGAGGCACATCTGCCACACAGGTACCAGAATGGTCTCAGCACTGTGTTCTTTATAATTATTCCCAACATTTTAAAAGGAAATTATAAGAGAGATAATAATAAGCAATAATAATGTACAATTTGTATCCTATATCAGATTTAACTGCATCATTGGAAAACTTCTAACATTTGCTATCGATTTTATTAAAATTATTTCAATATTTAGCAGTTATTATTATTTGTCTGAGATGTGAGGTATTTTATGTTACTTGTCATGTGATTTGAAAAAAAGTTTGAACGTATAAGAAAAATAATCAAGTTAATGAGAAACATAAATTCTCAGGAAACAAATGAAGTCATTTAGCAATACAGGAGGAAAGAGAATATTGAATCGCTGCTTTCAGTTTGCTCCAACAATAAAATGCTGTGGCCAAATGATGGTTACTACTGAGTGCTTACATAGAAATGTGACTCAGGTCTAAGGCAAACAGGGTCCTTTTTTTGCTGAAAAATTACAACACCTGGTATACGGCAGTAACACAACTAAAGATGATGAGTTTCAGACTTCAAATAAATAGCTGTTAAAACAAAAAAGACTACAACTAAGAGATTATTTCTGTTTTTGTCTTTAAGCCTTCTTATTTTCACATTTCTAATTTTTTGAAGTACAATATTATACCATGTGCTTCACACAGGAATTGGAAGGAACAGACATTACAATCCCTCCCAAGCTACACTTTAAGAGGCAGCATTACAGAAAAGGTTACCACACACTTCAGTGATCCACTATAATTGTGCAGACAACAAAATGTTACAGGAGAAAAAAAAGACATTTTAATTACAACTACATTCATTTCTATCTAAAAAGCAGGTGCATACACTTACATATGTAAATTCAATAAAGTTCACACTTCCTTCTCTTTTGACTTGCCAGATCTGAGTAATTAATCTGAAAACTTGGCTTCTAATTGCATTAGTTGACTCCTCAAACTAAACAGTGAAAAATCTGCTATTAACAAAGAATTGTATATGATCATTTTTTAAAAATCATTTTGGCTTATCTTTATTGTAAAGCATTTTTTCCCAGTCCTAAGGATTTTCAGGTTTGAAATCAAGATGAACTTTTTATCCTACAGTAACTCTCCCAGAACTGTCCATTTAAATTTTAATCTAGAAAGAGAAGCTTGTCTAAGTCTCCTACTTGCTGTTAAAAGCTACCTCAGCCCCTCTATACAGTCAAGACAGCCAAGTTTTTACTCCATGTCTCAAGGAGATGGAAGTGTTCTGTTGGCAAATAGCCAGAAGACTAGCTCAACAGGAACTGTCCAAATCAAAAACCAGGAATCAGAAAATTTCAGACTCCTCCTTCAACTTCCTTCCCAAATGCAAACTGGCCACTAAAACAAATGGCCTTCACTTCCTCTCTAGTGCCTGTCACTGCCTTATTCAGGACGTCTCACCACTGCTCACTGCTCTTCCTCCCTGGCCTTTCTACCTTCAACCTTGCCCAACCCAGAGCTGTTTTCCACACTGTAGAATGATGGTTGTCTCGAGGGTAGGTATGATCACGTCACACAAGAGAGCTCACAATCTGTGCTTCACTACCTTGCAACCACACTACCTGCCACTCCCTACAAACACCCTGTTTCTCAGTTGTACTTGATATTCTCAGTCTGCACCACAATCTCTGACGCCCTCAAAGCTTAAAGTATGCTTTTTTCTCTTCCTTGACAGCCTAACCATTGCCTTTCCCACGTGGCTAACTCTTAGTCATTCTTTATGACTCAGTCTGAGTTTCATTCCCTCCAGAAACCTTTCCATGCCCCTCTTCCTTGGCCCTATAGCAGCACCTTGATCCACCTACACAGAACTGTTCACATCATAATTGATCCTGTTTTTTGTCTTTCCTGCCAATTCCTTGAAGGAATAATTCTTCTTCACCCCTGTATCTCCAGCATCAACAGTTCAAACACAGTAGCACTTTTTAAATGTTTACTAAGTTTTTGTTTTGTTTTTTAGAGAGATTGTAGTTACTGACAAAATGATAAAGAGCATGTGGTCGTAAAAGAAATACTTCATAAATTCAGAGTTGTAATAAGCTCTGAAAATAATCTTTTCAACTTAATTTACAGCAAATGAGGTTTATAGAAAAAGAGAAGATTTTCCCAATAGCACGGAGATGAGAGAAGGAAAAACAAACCAGTGGAGACACCCTCCCCTACCCCCCAAATCTAAAACCTCTCTAAGGAAAAGATATCTGGGGGATACAATGGATAAATGGAATGCCATCTATTTCAGCACCAACCACACAATTCTATGAAGTGCATGAGGAGCTCTTCCTAGTGTCACCAGTAAAATATGTGTTTCTTCACCCAAGGCTCAAAGAGTCTACCTGTGTTGGTGCCTACAATTCCAAAACTTGCTCTTGGAACAGTCGCTTCCTCCACTGGGAAGGAGTTGCCACACCTGTAAAGGGAACACGTTGTTCGTGATCGCTCAGGTCACCCTCTATCTCTGATAGTCTCTGAATTTAGAATACAGTTTAAACATAGTCAACATAGTCCTGGATAGATACAGGGAAGGGGTGAGGGAAGTCCACTTACAATCAGGACTGGGTGTGAATGCTATAGGAACCTAGAATATTAGAACTAGGGCTGATCTGGGATTATTCTAATCAATAACCTTCTTAGAGAAGCCGAGGGGACTAAACCCCAGAAAACTTCAGGACCCGCCCAGGGTCTCCCCAGAATTCGGCTCGTCCTCTCCCAGTCCTGAGCTTAGGCAAAATCACCAGAAACGCCGGCTCCTTTCCCTTTCCTTCAGATAGGTCTCGGGTCCAGAGTCGGCGCTTGCTAGCGCGAGGCGTGACGGGGCGGGCAGAGGCAGCCACCTGTGACTTTCCCATCCCTCAGGTCCAGCAGTGCACACGGGGTGCTCTCGCGTCAACGCCGACGGAGTGACCTGCAAACGCGTGCCCCGCGGGCGGTAGAGCCGGCCGTTCACTGCTCGGTTGCTGGCCACCAGGGAAGAGTGCCTGGGCAGGAACCCTATCCCAGACCCACGCGCCAAGTCGCTCCCGAGCGGCGGCTTCCGGCCGCCATGGTTTCCATAGCAACAACATGGTCGGCTGCCGGGTCCCAGAGACGCCCTAGGGTCATAGGTCATCTCCGTGGCAACGGAAACTTCCCGCGCTACGGCGGCTCCAACGGGCCGTTTCCGCCGCATTGCGTAGCGGAGACCACCGCGAGCCAAAGCTGGGAGCGCGGTGATGACTGATCCCCGTGAGCAGAGGGCGGCGGCGGGACCGGGGGCTCTGGGCCAACGGGTAAAGCCAGGAGGAAGCCCACTTTCCCCGTCGGGCTCCCCCCTTTTCAGGGCCAAAGCAGCTCAGATTCGGAAGCCGGCTTCAGCCAGATTACCGAGGGGCTCCACGCCTGGAGGCACAGCTGCAGCATGGGCCCGCTCGTGGCTTTGCAGAAAGCATATAATGACACACTTCTCTGGAAGCCCGGGGCCTGGGCCCAGAACCCTGGCTTCTGCCAAACTTTCTGGTCCTTGATACCAACTCCCCGCCTCTCTGCCTGAGGCCACAGCGGCCCAGCACCCTGCACCTTTTAAAGTGGCACCAAAAAGGAAGAAGCGAAATAGATGAGGGTGGTGGGCGCGAGTGCAGGAAGCTGTGAGGTTGAAAGATGACTGCTTTTTGAACTGAGAAAGAACAAAATACTAAGCGAGAAACTCCTTCCAAAGCAACTGGAACTCGAGTTCTAATTCTTTGCAATTGAGGCTCCCAGTTACCATCTTCAGAGAAAGGAGCTCCTCAAAAGAGGAACAGTTTATTCTTTGCGGAATGTCTTATTAAGAAGAAAATTAAAGATTAGAAAAGAAAATGAAGGGTCTGGGAGCTGAGCACCTAATGGTGCCCTAACGTTTGCTATTCTGACGCCGAGAGTGCCAGATGGGGAGAAAGCCATGAGCTTTTCAGCTTGTGTATTTTGTGAGAAACTCGGGAGTGAAGAGAAGACTAAGGCCTTGAGACTGAGAAGGAAGCTATAAAATGTGGGCCAAGGGAATGTCTGCAGGACCGGGTTTCAGGCCACCCTATCGTCACGGATGAAGAGCCACTAACAGCTTTTTTTCTTTACATTTTATAGTAGTCAGATTCCTGGTTGGCACTTTGGGGAAGGAATAAGCATTAAGCGACTTTAACCAAGTAAAATGTATAGTCCTGCCCATTGCAGTCCCATAGCTCATTTTCCCAGAGACACCTATTTTTCACTCTTAATTCATTTTATTAAAGTGTATTGTAAACCTACCATGTGTCATGAGCAGAGGTTTTGTCAAGACACAGTGACAGAGGGGTGCCCAGCAGTTGTTGGGTGACTTCTTACATAATGTTACTAGATTGATCAAACAAGAACTTCACTGTTTCCTGTAAAACATGTTTGCGATATTCATCCATTTTTGCCTTCATGTTTAGGAAGCCCCTAAGAATCCCTCCTTTTGTTCCCTTCCCTTCATCATCCTACCTTGTACATTCTGACCAAAGTAAAAAAAAAAAATAGTGGCAACTGGAGAACACAGAAAAAAACATCAGGACATAGTTGGTCCAGATACCAAAGAGCTATTGCATCTCTAGAGGTATACGGAGGAACTGAGAAGCTCTCTCAGAAAACTCCCTGCCCTTCATACCCAGGTTAAACACATAACTTAACCTGGTACATGGTATACAAGTCCAAAGGAACACCACACAGGCTATGGCACTGAGCAGGCAGATGTGTAAATCGGTCTTTCCCTGTCCCACAATTCCTCCTGGAGGTAATACTGAGTTGGGCTCAAAGGTTTGCAATGACTTGTTTAACACTGAAAAAGCTCCTGTTAGACTGTTCAAATATCCCAACTGTTTCCTCTTAAGGCAAAAGAAACTATTTTGAATAAATGCTTCCATTTTGAGACATCTACGTGGTATTTATAGAAAGCTTGTGAGTCAATTTGAGTGAGGTATGATGCCAAAATGTGCAAAGAAGTGAAAACATTGGTTGTTGTCCTTGTTACCATATGTATAAAAACACTTCACAAAAGTCTCCAACGTTTGTGTTGCTAAAACATGGAAGACTGGGTTCGAACATTTTAAAGGAATGGTTCATTGTGGGAAATGTGAAGTATAGTATAGAATTAGCTTTAGCACCTTCAGAAAGCAATGCAGCATTTGAACAAATTTTCTCAGTTATGGATGCTAAGATGAGAACAACTTGTACAGCCAAAGTCATCTTCATTGTTAAAACTAAGTTTAGATTATCACGCATTGAATTTTACACTTATTAACTGGCCTATGCATTTCAAAAAAGAAAAATTCACTCTCCCAACAAGGCAGTACTTGGAAGCCTACCTAAAATGCCATCCTTTAGTTCCTGGAGTGGCACTGCTCTGCAAAACCCATTTTGCTACCTCAGTAACTAAAGCTTCCTGGATGGAGTCCAAGGCCAACTCATACTACATTGAATCCCACTCAAAGCCAAGCATGTTAGAAGAAGCAGCTTACATCTGTTTGGTGTTTCAGCCGTGCAGTCTGAATCTGAAGTTTTCATTTGAAATATAGTCAGTGTTTTAGACATGCAGAGGTTGTGGCCCATGTGTGGCTCACCCAGCTCTACTGGAACCTAGGATGAGTCGGTAGGCTAAGAAGGTGGAGGAGTAAAAAGTGCTTACTCTTCTTTCCTCTCTTCCTATTTTCCCACTTCCAAACACCATGGCAGCCCTAGATGTAAAGCAAGTAGCTTTTTAAAATAACATAAATGAGTAACAGGGGCATACCAGGTGTTTTGGCACCTAAAACAGCTTAGTGAAAAGCAAAAGCAAAGCTGAAAGACAGCCAGACAAGTAGGAAATAGACAGTGATCATGGGTCCTGCCAAGCCCTGCATGTTCCATCTCAAAGTTACAAGATAGAGTGGGAGACTGAGTTCAGAAAAAGAGAGTTTATGGAATGTTCTCAGTGTGCTGTGCAGAACTGGGTCTAGGGCATCTGCTTCGTACTAACACTTGGCACTGACATTTGTACTCAATAAAATCCTCTTAGATCATGATTTATCTTAAAATCTGTGCTTTCCGAAATCCTATCAAACCATGGAAGTTTGGGGGTATCCTGTGTGTGGTTGAGTGGGTGTATCTGTTTGAGGGTCCTGTGTGTGGTTGAGTGGGTATATTTGTTCGAAGGTCCTGTGTGTGGTTGAGTGGGTATATCTGTTCGAAGGTCAATTTGTGTGGTTGAGTGGGTGTATCTGTTTGAGGGTCCTGTGTGTAGTTGAGTTGGTATATCTGTTTGAAGGTCCTGTGTGTGGTTGCGTGGGTGTATCTGTTTGAAGGTCCTGTGTGTGGTTGTGTGGGTGTATCTGTTTGAGGGTCTGTGGCTTCCTTTGCTAGTTTTACATTATGAGCCTGAAGAGACCACAATGACGTGACCTTAGTATTTATCTTTATTGTGTATTTTCTTTTTTCAACCACATTTCTTTCCTGAGTACCCTTGGCTTAAAGTGCAGTGACCCAGATTATTTCCAAAAGGGGCCTATTATAGACATAGGTCAATCCAAACTATCATACTGGTTTAAAGAAACCTATGAAGTATCCTACAGACAAAATAAATGCCTTGGATTTAGTATTCCCTATTTAATGATTTGCCTAAAATACAGTCACCTTGCATGACTCATACAGTGAAAGTTGAAGCAGGTAACATTTATTCTAAATGCATAGCTGTTGTTCTGTTAGGAAAGTAGGACATTTAAGAGTGAGTGTGTGTGTGTGTGTGTGTGTGTGTGTGTGTGTGTTCTCTGATAATGGCTGTTAGGGTGTTTTTATGAAGATAGCAAATTTACTTTATATCCAGGACTTTTAAGCCATTGCGATTTACTTTTAAAAGCATATATTGTGCGAAGATGTTTTTCATGTTCTCTTCCAGTTAAATTTTACATAAAACAAGCCCAAAGCACTATTTAATGAATGCGTCTTACTTAAATATTAATAATGAACTAATCAGTAACTTTTGCATAGATGAATAACTTTGTCCTTAAATTCATAACTCTATTATCTGCTTATTTTCACACCAACCTGATTCTATAGCAATGCTCTGAAATTCCTCCCAGGAACGCCTGACCAAATTACCTACACTTGTTGACAGTTTAAACAATTGGAAATTATCAGTAAGTTATTTCATAACTTTCAAACGTTTAGGAAGCAAAATTAACCAAATATTTTTCTTTGAAATAATAATAGGTGCTTTATACCAAATTCACTGGTGTTTGGTAGTATTCTCCCAAGTTCCTTAGTTTTTAAACCAATTAATTGTCCTCTTTTTAAATTTAAGATAACATAATAGGTAGTAGTCAATCTGTTCATTTTGGCTGTAATAGTTAAGAGAATTTTCGTGTTTGTTTTATTTTCATTACCCAATTAACTTTTTAGTTCTACTGCTGTCTTGGGATCAAAAACCTGCAAAAGGTTTTAGGTTTCATGTTAATAGCAGGAGAATGGAACTCACAAAGTAAAATACTGAAAGAGAATGGCTAGGCATGGGTTTGATTCAAACTTACAGGCTAAAAGTTTTAGAAGGTAAGATAAATAATGTGGTGCATTAATGTTCTATTTAAATATATGTAATATATTATATATATTGTTATATATATTATATCATATATTACATGCAGCAACTCCCAGGTTAGAACCCATATCCCTGGTTATCTAAGACTAAATTATCCTATTAGAATAGTTGGTGATGTTCTTAGATACACTTTGAGTTAACCCACCAATTCGTACCCAAATACTTTAGCATTCATAAGCTGCAAAATAAATTGCTCTAAAAATAAATTGTCATTTGTTTGACAGTTTCCAAAAATGCCTTGGAAGGGGGGAAAAACTATTCCAGAGAGACGAAAGTGGATGGGATGAAGGAAGTGTAATAAAAAGATTGTGAATTGTGTATAGGGAGAAATTAGTGTTTCTAGTAAAATTGTTTAAAAAAAAATTATAAAGGCCTACAAAAAACTTACTGTTCTGTGCTAAATTATTTCCCACTCTCCAGTACTATGGAAGGACTGATTTCAAGGTCCCTAAGGCAAATGATCACATCTAAATAAAAAATGCTTTTACAGTATTCTTTTCTCAGAAGAGAGTTAAATCTTTTCACAGAACACAAGAAGGGTTCAAAAGATAACTGTTTTTACGGTGTAAAGCAGTGACGCCTCCCCTTCCCACTGCAGCCCTTGGCCTGTCTCACTTCCGGAAGTCTTGCAAAAAGGGTCTTCATATTAGGCTGTGAGATAGTGCTGCGGATGTAGGTTGGTTTTGTGTGAACCAAGCATCAGCAAGTTTCAGGTTTGATATCGGGGACTTGGGGTACATCTTGGGGTACATCTCATAGCTGAATTAGACATGCGGGTAGAAAGGTGGCAACACTGTTTTCTCCTTGGGCAATTCTCAGATTGGTGTGTTGTTTCAGAGTTGCTAAACGCTCAGGAGTTAAGAAAAGAGAAGGGTAAAAGGACGGAGGAGGAGGAAACGGGGTGAATAGAAAAGGTGTAAGAGCTAGAACACAGGAAGGAGGACTGAGGCAGAGCCCAGAGCCCACTGCAGCACCGAGTCCACCGAGCAGCCAGAGGCTACTACGAGAGCCTCAATTGCCACCCCGAAATACCAGCTGGGGGCAAACTTCTCCGCCCCAGCGCAGGAGCCCCTGCCCTTTTGGACAGCCTAACAGCTCGCAGTTTCTCCTTTGCTGCAGGAATGGTGGCCGCAAACAGTCTCAGCCTCCACACCCACCACATCGGTCCCCGCCCACCCACACCTCCTCCTCGTCCTCCTCTGCCTCCCGCTGCACCCACAGGCGGCAGCCCCCTCGGAGCGCGCCACCCCAGCTACGTGGCATTGGCAAGCTTCGGAGGCTGGAGGGCAGCAGCCACTTGCTGCCCCAGTCGCTGGGGCTCTGGGTGCCAGTGCGGCCCCAGGCTGAGCCCAGGGTGTCAGGGAGGCCGTGGAGAGCCGTGATCTACTGCACCGCAGTGCCAGCGTCAGGAGCCTCGGGAACCCGGGCTGCCACTGCGGGACGGCCGGTTTCCCTGCTCCCTCCTTCAAACACAACCCCAGACGAGAATACTCAATCCTGTTTCCCTTCCCACCCTGCTAGAGCCGGGGGACGCCACAGGCCCGGCTGCCAGTGTGAGCGGTTCCGGGGAAGGCTGCGTCCAGCCTCCTCGCCAGTGCCGCCGCCACCACCATGCAGCCCTCCTGCCTGGCCTCTCCTGGGTTGCTAGCCCACAGCTCCGCGG